TGGACCAAAACCTGTGCGGTCCCACGGGCAGCTACCGGTTCTGCAGTTTCAAATAAGATGCCACCACCCCCTAAACTGCCATGCCTTGTTTTTCCAGCCTTCCAATGACCGTATAACGAACGGCGACGAAAAATGTTCTCAAGGGCATCAAACGCACCCCTGACTCCTGAGGGGCTGCGAACAGGGCAAGCTAGTTTAGTAGTTTATCGATAGGTACGATGAGCTTCCCCCCACGATCCTAGTTAGCCACTAACCACACGAGTGGGGAAAGCTCTGTTGCAGAAGATTCAAAGTACCCACGTGTCAGGAGAGGCATCAGTCACATACGCAGCCCTGGTGCCTAACACCACTGCACCTCCTGCCTTGCCACGTGGTGGAAACCTATGTTTATAGCAAGAGGGTATGTGTCCACCAGAGAACCTGATGAATCGAAAACGCGCTCGAGTGAGAAAAGTTGAAAAAGGTCAAATCGCAATACCCACGTGGCAGGGCTCAAAACAATCACACAAACAGCTCCTGTGCCGATCCTCCCGACACTACCTGCCCTGCCACGTGGCCAAAAGCGCGCTCGAGTAGGAAAAATTCGAAAAAAGGTCTTATCACAATACCCACGTGGCAGGGGTCAAATCAGTCACAGAAACAGCCCCGGTGCCGATCCTCACAGCACCACCTGCCCAACCACGTGACCAGACCTGTGTTTATAGAAACGTAAAAATAGTACAATTCGCGAAGTCCATGTGACAAATTGCTGTTCAAACACATGAGCAAACCTTACCCACCCTGTAGCCACTTGGCCAGAATCAGATGCGGCAGAGCTAGCCTATCACATGCAACCCTATCTGATCTGGCAATCTGGCATTCACTATCCTACCAGACTAAGTACATTGCCCAGTCATTCTCTCGAATGCTGCCAAGACTAGTTTTGGGCGCACAGCCTGCTGGAGGTAAATGGCCGGCAGCGTTAGACAAAAGAGAATGCGCCGGGTGCCTATATTACGAGGCCCTAGACTAGTTATGGGCCAACGGCCTGCCGTAGAAAAACATGGCTCCTTTCGAGGCTTGCCAAAGAAGTGTCTGAAATACTGGCGGTTTAACAAGTGGATGAGCACATGTCGTTCAGCCCCTGGTAGGCCTACCTTGCGATGGTTCCATGTTAGGCCAATTTTTGAGTGTAATGGGGCCGGAGGTGGTGGTGGGCAGACACACACACACACACACACACACACACACAGAGAGAGAGAGAGAGAGAGAGAGAGAGAGAGAGAGAGAGAGAGAGAGAGAGAGAGAGAGAG